TGAAAAACAGACATCAGAGAAAACACATACGTAGTGGGAGACTTCAACACACCACTATCAACAATGGATAGATCAACAAGACAAAAAATAAGTAAAGAAACCAAAGCTCTAAATAAGGACCTAGAGCAATTGGGCTTAACAGACATCTATAGAACACTAACCCCAAAAAAACGGAGTACACATTTTTCTCAAGCGCACATGGATCATTCTCCAGGATCGATCACATACTGAGGCACAAGACAAACATCAACAGATACACCAAGATTGAAATCATATCAACCATCTTTTCTGACCATGAAGGCATCAAACTAGAAATAAACCATAAAAAGAAGGCAAGGAACTTTCCTACCTCATGGAGATTAAAAACCACACTACTGGAAGACCACTGGACTAATGAGGAGATGAAAGAAGAAATTAAAAAATTCTTTGAATTGAATGACAGGAGGACACGAATATCCTAAATGTATGGGATGCAGCAAAAGCAGTAATAAGAGGAAAATATATAGCAATAGAAGCTCACATCAAGAAAAAGAAAAAACTCAAAGAAACAACCTAATCTCGAAGCTCAAAGATCTAGAAAAACAACAAAAAAACCCCAAAACCAGTAGAAGAAAAGAAATAATAAAAACCAAAGCAGAAATAAATGAATTGAAACTAAAAAACAATCCAAAAGATCAATGAAACCAAGAGCTGGTTCTTTGAAAAAATCAATAAAATAGACAAACCCCTAGCCAGGCTCACAAAGGAAAAGGGAGAAAGCACAAATAAACAGGATCATCAATGAAAGAGGAGAAATCACAACGGACACAGCAGAAATCAAAAGAATAATCAGTAACTACTATGAACAGTTTATATGGAAACAAGTTCAACAATCTAGAGGAGATGGACAAATTCCTACAACTCTACAATCACCCAAAGCTAGATAAGAAGAAATAGAACACCTAAGCAGACCAATTACAATTAGCGAAATTGAAATGGTAATCAAAACCTCCCCAAAAACAAAAGCCCAGGACCTGATGGATTTACAAATGAATTCTACCAAACATTCAGAGACGAATTAGTGCCTATCCTTCACAACTCTTTCCAAAAAATTGAGAAGGAAGGGACAATACCAAACAAGTTCTATGAAGCCAACATTACACTAATACCAAAACCGAACAAGGACACACAAAAAAGGAAAACTACAGGCCAATCTCCCTAATGAACACTGATGCAAAAATCCTCAATAAAATTTTAGCCATCAGAATCCACAATGTATCCATAAGATAATTCACCACGACCAAGTAGGATTCATTCCAGGGACACAAGGATGGTTTAACATCCGAAAATCAATTCAACGTTATCCAACACATCAACAAAAGAAATATAAAACCATATGATAATATCAATAGATGCTGAGAAAGCTTTCGACAAAGTGCAACACCCATTCATG